TATAGTGTAATGTATACAGATAAACAATAACCATAATAAATAATTTAACAAAACAAAACTTAGTAGTTAATAATTAAGTAGTTATTATTAAAAATTGTTTGCATAGAAAAACAAAATACAAAAAGTAAACACATACTTAACAATCGACGCTTTCACAGTGGCATAACTAAAATTACCACCAACATTTGAAAACTGAAGCCTCCAAAAAAATTCAGTTAAGTATAAATAGTATTTTATTCAACACGGAAATGTTTTAGTTCAAAATCATAGTTTTAAATCAAGAATTAGGTTGAAGCTGGCAACCAAATTGGAAAAGCAAAGTAGACAGATAAAACCATGCCGATACAACATTTAATCATCATATCCGGTTTAAACAATTTGATTTACGTTTAAGGAGAGTATTACATATGAGGAGAGTATTATGTATTACTATATTCTTTTCTACTTGTTTATCTATCATATTTAATGATTGTCTGTTAGAATATAAAAAATTGCAAATAAAAATCCAAAATTTCAATAAAAAACACAAAAACTTTCATTAACAAAACACATAAAAAACACAAAAACTTTCATTAACAAATATACATTCGTAACATATTACTGGGTGTTGTAAGGGCCTTGTCTTTTTCATATCTTTGTTTTTATACCAAATTGTATACATTTTGATAAGAATTGGAAAAGTTATAACATTTGAAGTTACGAAAAATTATCAATTTTGTTAAATTATTTTTTCAAGAAATCCTTATAAAATTTTCTACTAAAAATATCATGTAAAATTTTGATTTTTTCTCCATTAAAATATAAAACAATCATATTCTAACATTAATAAATGTATTATTTGATTTGTTTGTGCACTAAATGTTAAATCATTGATATATTAATAAAGCTTTATCATATGTATTTTTATTAAATTTTGCAAAAGTATAATAAATTAAAACTTAAAATATATATATATATATATATATATATATATATATATATATATATATATATACATATATATATAAAAGTGCAACTTTCAGCATAAAATTCTATGTAGATGGAATGTAAAAATAATAATCATAAGAATACAGTAAACTCCCAATTTCTCAAACCTCAGATAACTCGAACTTTCCTGTAACTCAAATTACTTTCGATTATTATTAGTTGTACACATATAATTTTTTTTACTGTTATATCTTGTTACTATATTATATATGTATGTTACTATATTATATATGAATCGATTCATATATATCTTATATATAATGTTGTCATATATATCATATTATGATATATAATATATATAGTAACAGGGATTAGGTTATTGACAGTTAACTTCAAAGAAAATAAAATTACATATATACAAAAATAATGAAAATTTAGATTTATTGACTGATTTTTATTATATTATTACTGTATGAGTATAAAATCTTAATTTTATAATTTTATTTCCTGACATTAATATTTTAAGTATTACGTTAAAAAAAAACAACTATAATACTTAAAATATAAATGACAGTAAATAAAATAGGATTTTATACTCATACAGTAATATAATAAAAAAATTAGTTAATCAATCTAAATTTCATTATTTTTATATATATCTAATATAACATAAAAAATATAAAATATATAAAAATAAAGAAAATTTAATGACATATAAAGTAAAAAAAAACATGTCACGACATATATATGTCATATAAAGTTATATATAGTTTTTCTTTACTATATAAACAATCTTTGTATATTTTATTTATCTATATACATATATAAATATAAAACACATATGTTATCTAACAATTATCTATTAGGTAATTGTGACCTCTTCATACGAGAATCGCCATTATTAAAACACCTTTTAATAACTTTAATAATGACATTTCGCGTCATTAGACATAATAAAAAGGTGAAAGTGATAAATTTTCTTATTTTCGAAACGGACGAGAAAAAGACGTTCATAAGACGTCTTATTATAGTTCATATTGTGAATAAATCGAGCGGACGTGAACTGAACGTACATAAGACGTCTTTTTTCCGTCGTGTGCCCACTGGGCAACAAAAACATTTTTTTTTACTTTTTTGTTACTAAAACCTTATCATGTTATATAAGATTAAAAGTCAATTTGGTTTTACTCAAAGTTGGTTGATAAAATGAAAAATTATAAAATCAGTTATTCGGGTTTAAATTTTTTTAACCTAGATAACTAAATTATCCTAAAACATAGGGACTAAAATACGTTTAAATTAAAAGACTCTAAAAATCCCCATCCTCCTCATCCTCCCCATCATTCGTCTCTTTATAGATAAAAAAGTTATAATTTTAAAAAACTTTAAAAATTACTTTTAAGACTGATCATACACCTGCCACAATACTCTATTGTACGCTGTTTGCAGAACCCCCTTCACCAAACAATGTTGGTACTTTATGGACGGCCCCAAACCAAGAGTTGATCCAGACCATCGAGTTAGAAAAGTCAATTTTAGGTTATATGATTTGTGTGGCCAGGCAATGTAAAAAACTATAATACATTTTTAGTAAATTTTTCTTTGAATATCAATCTTATTAACGTAACCATGACGTAACATAACCATGACGTAACATAACCATGAATTGACGCAATATATTGTTATCACAATAATCTTATTTAAAATTACTTTCAATTTTATAAACATTGGATACCATTTAAACACCCCGCCTAATTTACTTCTTTTTTTTTCATAAAGAGAGGAGGCTGTGTTAAATATAAAAAATTACAATAAGAAATTTTTTTTAATTTTCTATTTAACTATATTTTCCCCCATACCTTCCCTTTATCTTTTAGTAAGTCCGTAAAAAATGAGACTTATGCTAAATAAGTAATATTGAGAACCATAGCCTAAAGCCTGTTTTTTGTTGATTTATAAATAGGGGGTGCCTGAAACACACGCCCGCCTTCCTCTAGACCAGTGCTGTGAGGGGAGGGATGTGTGTGCATAGGGCAACACTATCACATTCCCCCTCCTTCTCCATGTTTACTCTTTTTCATGAAGGCAAAATTGGATCTTTACTCAGAAATTTTTTTTTTTTATTGATTAACTGGCAAGTTATAGACAGCTTAATCCAACAATAAATATGGGTTTTGATCAACCTGTACAAAAAAAAGCTAGAAAAACATTATTAAAGCACCCAATCACTTTTTTACATTGTTCTAATAAGATGCAGCCTGTTGACTGAAAAAAGTATTGTCACCAAGTTTCCAAGTGTAAGTTTTAATGCAGATGTTTTGTCACCAATATTATCAGACCATACCTATTCAATGAGTTTACCACCTAATAAATGTACTTCATGTGAATACAAATCTTTACTTATCACCTCTTACGTGAGTAAAGTAAATAGCCTTACTAATCAATTAAAAAAGTTAAAAATAAAACAAACAGTCAAGTCTAAACTAAAATTCTCTCGGAGATTAGTTAACAATGATAAGAAAATGAACTTCAGCTGTTTTAATAGGCGTAACATTGTTTTCCATTGCACAATAGACTCGAGCTGCAAGAATTTCTTTCTTTCCAAATATTTTCAAACCACGAAGTCGTAAATAAGACTTCAGTTCTTCAACCTTCATACTACACTCTGTATCATAATCCATTTTGATTTATATATGTTATATATTTGTTTTAATAGTGATAGGATTTTTTTTAGTCGTTTGTTTATACTTCGTTTACTCAAGAATTAAATTTTACGACTTGATTTTTCCCTTATAAACTCGATCCAGTCTTTTCTTTTAATTCTCCGTAACGCGGCTCGTGTATTGCAGTTTATGTTACTATAATGATAGAAATTAAATAAAAATAAAGAACGCCAAAACTCAAAGAAGACTTAGAGGTCTTGTCATGAAAACCACTAAAGTTAGAGATCTTGTCATGAGAACCGCTAAATTAAGGTGGTGAGGCGTACGCTTTTTTAAAACTTGACAATAGTCAAGGTATAAAAAAGCGTACACCTCACCGCCTGACCGTTGCGTTTTTTTAAATCTTGGATAAAATTGATGTATAAAAGTTGTAATAAATTACAGTAACTGATCCAGAAATTTTAGGTGAGGGGGTGGTGTGGTGTGGAGAGATTGATGTTGAAATATTTTTGTACTTTGTATCTTCTTAACAAAATGGTCCTTTGTTTCTAAAACTTTTTAGGACTTTCAGATTTTGGTGGGGGGTATGCCCAATCCCCTACCTGGATCCATCATTGATTAATTACAACTTTCATATTCACTTTTATGGAGAATGTTATTATTAAAGTGACTGAAAGTTTACAGATAAATTTAACCACTATGAGAATTGAAATCACTAAAAAACGATTTTTGATCAACCTGCCATTTAAGACTTTTTAGGTTTTTTTAAATATATATATATATATATATATATATATATATATATATATATATATATATATATATATATATATATATATATATATATATATATATATATATATATATATATATATATATATATATATATATATATATATATATATATATATATATATATATATATATATATATATATATATTTACACATATATTTAAAAAAACATTTGTGTTGAGGCACAAGCTTCACTAGATTAATTTGCGCAATGTTAGCATTGCGCGAATTTTCAACTTTTAATGTTCATAAAATCTAAACATATTTATTTTTTCTGGAGATGATTTTTTCATCTTTTTTCGGTTGTCAGCAATTAAATTAAAAAAATATTTATATGTTAATAATTTGTAATTAATACGTCCTTAAAAGTTAATTACATTAAAATAAAAATACCACCTGGTTACCTAAGCGCATTGCATTGTGACAATGCAGTTTGGCCAAAAAATATTGAAAAAATGGTTTGACACGTCATTGATATTGAACTTGTTACTGTCAATTTATCTTTATCGATTTAATATAATATTTTAACAATAATTTAATAAATTTAATAAAATTACCGTTTCAAGAAAAAAAGTTACTTTTTCTTCCGAAACATTTTTTAACTATCTCAGTGACGCATTTTTTTTTATTTCGAGAAACTTATTATGTCATTAAATTCTCGAATTTGTTTACTGCGAAAAATAAATACAAGATGGTCTCCGCTTCCACAACTGCTTCAAGTTGTTCTCAGTTATTAAGGTAATTGTAAGTGCATGTGATTATTGATATTTTATTTTGAGATTTTACATGTAATTTATTATAGATGTAATAGATGTTATATCTAGTACATAAAAATAAACTTACTTATATATGAATTCAATTTAAAGTATATTTTTTTGAATTTTCCGTCTTCAAATCACCTTTTTTCCAATGATATGTAACTATTTTAAACCCTTGCAAATTTTATTGTCAATATCGAGATAATAAATTGATGTTTTTTTAGACAATGCGAAGCATTGAAGGCTGCCATTCTTGGTAATATTTTTATATTTTATTATGCTCCTTTTTATAAAAACATACATGTTCTCACATAGCAAATGTAATTATTTTTTCGCTTTTTTTTTTATCGAAAACTAAATATTCTTTTTGTTAAATACATCAAATAAACAATATTTATAACATTTATAACATATATAAATTTATATATATATATATATATATATATATATATATATATATATATATATATATATATATATATATATATATATATATATATAACATATATATATAAATTTTGTATATAAGAATTTTGAATAAAAAACAGTGAAATACACAATTATTGCACATGAAATACAGCAAAGTATAACACTTAAAAGTTCAAAACAAAAAAAGTGAACGAAAATCAATCCTTTGCAATGGTATAAAATTATACAATAAATTACCAAATGAATTAAAGTTGCTTGATAAGAAGGGGTTTAAGAATATATATATATATATATATATATATATATATATATATATATATATATATATATATATATATATATATATATATATATATATATATATATATATATTATATATATATATATATATATACATACATACATATTTTTTTTAGGAAAATCAAATGAAGCTACAAACGTTTTATCAGATGAATTTGTATCTAGGCAAAGGTTAGTTGAAGTTTTATTTATCTTATCATTGCTTTATTATTTATTTATTTAATTTTTTAGCCATATCATATAAATTCATTTATAAAAATTTATTGCATATATATATATATATATATATATATATATATAAATCTGTACAGGGCCGGCGCGAGTAGGTGTCACGTGGGGGGGGGGGGTGTGTGTGTGTGCCAATACAACTTTATATATATATGTATATATATATATATATATATATATATATATATATATATATATATATATATATATATATATATATATATATATATCACCCTTTTCCAAAAAATCATTAGGTTTTTATGGAAAGTAATCTTTTATTATACCCATTAGCTGCTAAATCATTGTTATAAAATAGTGTGGATCTATCAAAAACTTCTTTGCTAAATGAAATATTGCTAATATGGTCAGATATCATGGTAGGTATGGATTTAATAATACTAAGGAGGGTGGTTAGAACTTATGTTGATATATAATGGGTGGTCACCTGGTTTTCTGTATGACTGGAAAATATTTTCTGACAGGTTAAACGTAACGTAGAGAATTTACAGTTTTTAAGATTGTTTTTATTGTTAGTTTTAGATAAAACTTCTCCTTAAAAAGATGTTTTTTTTTGATTCTCTTGGATTCATTAATCTCATGAACAAAACAGGATAGGCCATCATCTCTATATAATCCAATAGATTGCAACCCATAATCATTATTTATTGTGGAATTTAAAGGCCAATTAGCTCACATTCCTCAGCTCCAGTTTTTAAACCCACATACTATTTTTTTTATTGAAAAGTAATGATTTTCTGGAGTGATTTATAATATTTAGTGTTTTTTGAAATTTCTTACTTATCAATACTAAAAGTAAAGCAAATTCTTCTCTTTTCAATATGAAAGTATTCCGTGGTGCTCTGTCATAAGATTGTAAGGACTTCTTGGGGCACCTAAAATCAACATAAAAAAAAAAAAGATGGAAAATCAAAAAATATATATATATATTTTCAAGTTTAAAAAAACGAGTAGTTGTGATTAAAGCATCTGAAATATAATGAATAGAGTCTTTAATAATGAGGGTCTAATAAGTATTTGGGTAGGCCATAAATCGTGAGACAATACATGTCTGTAATAGTAAGACAATTAATGTTTGCAATGCAACAGAAAGAATATTTGAAACAATTGCAATAGTATTTCTATTCTATCATTTTTAGACAAAAATCAGGCAGTGACACTAACTTTTATTTTAATCACTGTTTGGTAGTTAATGTAATCAGTGTGTGTTAACATTGTTAAATGTTATCATTTAATTATGCAGGAGTAAGTTTATAATTATGCAAAACGAGTAAATATATCTTTTATAAGGCTGTTTGGAAAATTATTATTTTTATTAACGGAGACTCCCATGAGTACCCTTAATTGCAGGTACTTGCTAGGCAAGCATTTTAACTATAACATTTAGTAAACAATATATTTATATTAATAATTTAAAATTAATTTATATATAATTATATAAACAATATATTTATATTCAGAGCGGTGGCTAGGCGACCCCAGTTGGGGGGAGACTAGCAAATTTAGGGAGTCCTTTTGCAAATTTAGGGGCCCTTTACAAAATTTAGGGAGTTTATATATATATATATATATATATATATATATATATATATATATATATATATATATATATATATATATATATATATATATATATATATATATATATAATAGAAATTTTTAAAATATTTTGTGACCCTAATGACTGTTTTTAGGGGTTGGTGGGAGCCTCAGACTTGCTAGTCATATCATTGTTTATATTTCTTTTAAATAGATTAAAAAGATTTATTACATAGCATATTTGTTGCATAGCAAGGTCATTATTTCATTCAAAAGTTAATATCTTTTTTTGTTGTTCTTCTCTGGGGTTGCCAATGTCCTTAATTTTCTGTAGGAGAGCCCAACGTTGAACTAATAATAATTTAAAATTTTTAATGCATACTCATTTTGGCAATGCCAACACTATTTTTCTCTTACTTTTTAATTCAAGTTTTTTGGCATAATTTTTATGTTATGTTTTAAAAAACTTTTATTTATTTTATTTAGATCTGATTACTTACATTTGTACTAATATTTAAAATGAGAAAGTTTAATTTTACTAATATTTGAAATGATAAAGTTTAAAGTTTGTAGAGTTTAATTGCAAAGTAAATTGTAACTATAGAAACATAAGTGGAGGAGAAACTCATATTAAGTGTATATTAAAAAACATAATTTTTCATTATAAAAATATAAAATGCTAATTGTTTTAAATGTTATTCCAAATTAAAATGTGAGTTTAACATTTTAATCCAATTGTAACATTCCACATTTTATCCATGTGAATTCAAATTCGGCATTTTTATTGCCTTCAAATACATTTATTATCAGCCTTTTTTACCAATTTTCCAACCGATGGCATTTTAATATTTTTATCCTGCATTATTATAATAATTAAATAATAAATAAACTAAACTCTGTGCATCACTTAGAATTTTTTGGATAAATTTTTATTTTGACTTTGTTTACAGGCAAAAGCTTTAAAAGTAACCTATTTAAGCATAATTATCTATTAATTTTTAATTCTTTTTTACTCCCAATAAGGCTTCAAGCAACCACTATCAAGTTGGGAGTCGCTAGAAAAAAAGAGTTGAGTTATTGAGCAATGAATTGGTTGACAGAAGAATTAAAAAGTTGAAAGTTGTTTGAGTCAGAAAAACATAAAGATGGGACAGAGTTCCGAAAAGTTATAGCGCGTGGAAATAAGCTAGACAAATGAAGGTTTTTGGAGCATGAAGAGACAGATATTGTTGAAGAATGAGACTTAGATGAATTACAAGTCAAGCAAGAATGAGTTTTGGTTGATGGAACTAGAGATGAAAGCTCCTTTGAGAAGCAACTATGATAGGATTTGTAAAAAAGAGAAAGAAATGTAACTTTACGATGATTGGAAAGAGGCTCAAGCTTAGCAGATAGACTGGGTCCAACTCTGTTTACAATGCGTTTTTGGACCTTATCTTGAAGAGAAAGAGCATCATTAGAAGAACCAGCCCAAATATGATAACAGTATTCCATACAGGGAAGAATAAGAGATTTGTAGAGGTAGGGAATGGAATCAGTAGAGAGAAAATGGTGAGCAAGATAAAAAAGCAACCTTAGCAGATGCTAGTTTAGCAATCAATTGTATATATGGTTTTCATGAAAAGTCAGTTGTAAATGATAATTCAAGAAGACGTAAAGGGAGGGTTGCCATTCATCAATATAGGAATATCGACAGTACTGCAATAGTTATTTTACTGACAGCAAGTTATTTGACTTAAGATAGAATGTGAGAAATTTATTTATCAAAGACTCAAAGACCTTGCTATTAACAGAAAAAAGACTGGCTGGACAATAATCGGAGGGGTCAGTATTTTTACCAGAGTTTTTAAAAAAGACAGGAAAACAAGATTCAGTCAAGCACTTATTAAATAGTTTAGAGAAAATTGAAGACAGTTCTGGAGAACAATTTTGTAAGATTGTGATAGGAATTGTGTCTGGACCAAAAGCCATAGAACAGTTTAATCAAGATATGACTATGAGCAATTGAAGCTGAAACAATTTGAATGTCTAACAATGGGTTAACTTGTTTAATTAGAATGGAAGGAAGGGAATGGCCATACGATTCGAGAATCGGATTAGAAGAGAATTTCTTTGCAAATAGTTCAGCTTTATTTAATGTATTTAAATATAGCCAATTACCAAGTATATTTCTTTATT